TCCTCCAGGACAAGCGGGGATCGAACTCATGCGGAAGTGGCTTAAGCTTCTTTGTGCTGTGCTTTAACCCGCTGCGCCACCAGGGAGGGCCTGTTTTTACATTTTAACCCTTAATTTGAGGTCAACGTTTTTTACTTTCTTCTCAACCTCAGCTTTTTAGCTTTTCTCACTGTGCTAAGAATTCTTAATACAGTACCTGTCCTGCTAACATACTTCAGTGGCAGAGCCAGCATGGCTGTCTGTGATGGTTACAGCAGGTCTCTGGAACTGGTCTCACAGAATTGACGTCTTAGTCAGTGCACAGCAAGTCCTGTTTCCTCCACCCAGACTCTGGCAGTCTGCCGTCTAGTCTCTGCGGGCAAGAGTTTGAGTACTTTCCATGACCTTCTGTAGGTGGAATCACGTAGTTTTGTTCTTCTGTGACTGCTTATTTCACATCTAAAGGTCAGTCTTTAAAAAAGAGGAAATCGTGCAAACATGGACCCATATGGATGGCCTTTGAGAGGCTGGTTATTAAGTCCAGAAAGAAGGAGCCCAGTTAGCATCTTGAGACTCGAACCACAAGGACCAAGATGGAGGCCAAGTTACCTGAAGTTGGAGAGAACTCGGAATAGAGACCACTGAATCCCATTTTCTGAGGTCAAAAATGTCATTGGGGGTGAATTTGAAGTTGGGGAGGGGCAGCCAAGGAACTTGAACTTGAACTTTAAGGGAGGAGCGTACAGGGCTGAGGGTCACCTGCAGGTAAATGGCCTAAACCCGCAGGGGGAGACACCTCTGGCATTCAAGTGCCTAGGTCACATCTGGCCTCCATCACGTGCTACATATTCACACAGAATTTTAAACCCCGTTTTTCTTCCCTGCAGAATTCAAGTAAGCCTAACCCTGACCTCTGAGCCATTGTGTAGATGAAATGAGACATCACAAAAGCTCTTAACTGAGTCCCAGAATCATAGATGCTCAATAAATATCAGCAGTCGTCATGTTACCAGAATCTACTGCTTGATTTGGAGACCTGGAGTCATTCCAAACCCGATGCACTTTCTACTCCCCTGGCGGGAGTGGGCAGGAACACTGAGCCCAGGTCAGGGGGCTCCCTGGCTTCCTCACCCAGCTCTACTGCAGACACTGCACCCACCTGCTCCTCTCCACGCTCCTTCAGCCGCACCCAGACTCCTACTTGCGAGAGATGGACATTAGTTCCTTCGACATGGACACCTCTCTCTCTCTCTCTTTCTCTCTCTCTCTCTCTCTCTATATATATATATTATATTAGTTTATTTTTACATGTTTTTGTGCATTTTTCCATCTCAGTTGCAATCCCCTTGGGTTTCCCATCACCAAATGACACCTTTATTTTTATTAAGTGATTTCTTTTAAAAGATTTATTTATTTATTCATACAGAACTGGGGTACAGGCCAGAGATGCTGAGGGGCGGAGGGTGAGAGGCTTCACCAGAGACAGAGTGGGGAACAGAACAGGCAGATCGACGAAGTACACTGCTGAGGGGAGCAGCGGGCGGGTCAGCAGAGGTCTGCCTCGCCATGTGGTCACCTCCGGGGCAGGCGGGGATCAAACTCATGTGGAAGTGGCTTAAGCTTCTTTGTGCTGTGCTAATTTAACCCGCTGCACCACCAGGGAGGGCCCACCTTTATTTTTATTAGCTCTTGAAGTCCAGGGAACACAAGGAAACTGCCCAGAGGCAGCTGTAGGAGTGAAAAGAAAGGGGAAATATTTGCTCCCAAGTATTAGACTCTTAACTTGCCAAGCAAAGTGCGCTGTGAGGAGACTTCGTTGAATGCGTTTCTCTTGAACTTACCAGTTTTGGGTTTTAGAAGCACAAAATGGATTTAAGAACATCTAAGTTGTAGGGTGGTTCTAAGGATTAGGTGTGGATGGCCTCATACCTGGAAGGCAAAAGGCATGAAATAAGTGTTGCTATTAGCAACTATTAGCTTAATTGGGCAAGGCAGTCAGTCTAGGTGAGACTGACCCTCTACAGGAAAGGGGAATGGAAGAGGACCCTTAACGTGTTAGTGGAAAGAAAGTAAGAACCCAAGGGAACACAGACCAGCAGCTGTAAGAGTCCCCTTCTGTAGGAGGTGGTTTGGGGGTACTCCAGGTGAAGCAACGGTGCAGGGTAACAGAGAAGCTGGAAGTAGGGGTAGTTAGAGGGAGAGATCAGCCCCTTGGGACCACAAAGCGAGTTCTATATGAATTGTTCACATCTGAATTGTGGGGCTCCGCGACAGAACTCCAGCCCCCAGGGCAAGCTCCTGCCCACAGTGGTGGGCCAGTGCCAGCTGAGATGGTGCCAGCCAGCCAGCTTCCCCGTCCTCCTCACCCACGCTCAGTTCTGCTATGAAGGGCAAGTCACTGGTGGAATAATGAAGAAACGACTCTTTCAGCTCAGTGAAGACTGGTCCTCGGCCTATATGGAAGTCCACCGTGGGTCCTGACTGCACCCCCTGGCTCTTCCGGCCTCGCCCGCACCATGCCATCCCGGTCCCGGCCCCAGGGAGCCCTGGCAGCATCCCCCGCAGAAAGAGCTGTTATCTCCACAGGAGAGAAACCTGCACATTTCTACCAAAAAGAAGACAACTTGGAGGGTCTGCAGAAAGAACCCACAGTCCTGGGGGTAAGTTCGCCTTGTTATAAAAGAAACGCCAGGAGAGCTGTGTGATCTGGGAAAATCATATTTTTTTCTTCCTGTCTGACTCTACATTATTAGGGACATGAAAGGGAGCTTTATGGGGAGAAGCGGACTCCTCAGGCCTTTCTGTAAACTTAAACTTCTAGGTCTTTCCCACCTGGCGCTACACAATAAATCTCTGAAGCTTTAGGAAGCACTTACTTCTGTCATGTATACATGAGATGAGCTGAACCGTGAGTGGAGAATGTGTTCAACACCTGTAGATTATTACTGTTATCCTTGGAGTCCTAAAAATCATCATTAAAATGCATTAACAACTGAGATGAACTATGGCACTAAAACCTTCCTGCTCTACTTTATCTCCATGGAAATCCTGGCTGTTGTTAACACCCCCTTAGTCAATTTTCTTGCTTACCCATCTAACTCCACTGTGGCCTAGAAAACTTTTCTCCTTTTAGTTTTCCTAGGAAAAAAAAAATTGTCAAACATCTTTTTCAAAATAAAAGTTAAATGTGCATATCACTCCTCCCTGATTTTGCTATTTTAACAATCTTATCAGAGAGGAAGTTAATGTTACATGACTTTTTCTTGGAGAATTTAACTCCTTAGACACAGTTCTCTTTCTAGTATGACAAATTGTAACAGAGCTTGATACTCTGGATCATTATCCCTACACATTCAAAATAATCAGTTTCATCAGCTTAAAATGTGTTCTAGAATGTTCCCTCTTGTCTCTTGTAGATTATCCAGATCCTGTGCTGCGTGATGATTTCAAGTTTGGGGGTCATTTTGGTTTTTGCCCCCTACTCTCCCCACTTCAGCACAGCAGTTTCCACCATTGTGACGTCTGGGTACCCATTTGTGGGATCGCTGAGCGTGAGTAGAATTGGGTCACAAAGAGGTGAAATTCTTCATGAATGCTAATGCCAAGTCATGGATGGAGTGACTCGGCCCCAGGGAATGATTGGTGGGGCAGGAGGCAAGAGGGGCAGGTGAAGCACAGGAAATGTCAGAACATGTCTTCCCTGACATTACCGAACACATGGGAAGGTGGGAGAGAGCTTTCACACGCTTCTTTAGGGTTGGAACGAGGTCACTGGATTCCCTCCACTCTAAAACTCAACCGCTTGACAAGCAGATAATGGAAAGGTGATTTTTAAAATAAAATAATGGCCATTTGGGAGGTTTTCAGAGAATCAAGCTACATGTGAGGTCTGTAGAAGGCAGGCAACCTCCCTATGTGCTTAGATGCCATCGTCAACCCCCGAAAACTCTTCAGCTGCCTTCTGCCTGCGAAGGACCCATGACCCTTATCCTGGAGAATCGCCAGCGCAGACTTACTCGTCCTACAATGGTCACCTCCTTTCCATGTTGTCGCCTATGTGGAGAAGGAAGTGACATATATTCTAGCCTATGAGGGGAGAAAATGCTGCACATTCTAGACAGATGGATTCCACCAAGTCTCCACACTCCTCTGTGAGCAACTCCTGTGTGAGCACGAGCTTCACAACCCACCCCCACCGCCAAGGCGGGATTTTCTCTCTAACCAGTGGCCCTGACCTCCCAGTTCTCTGAGAGAACTGGAGTTAGCTCATGCAGAACCTCTCTGTCTGTGGTTACTCAGTCCCGAAGCCACAAACTTAATCAGTGCTTCAGCTTCTCAGAACATCTTCCCAGCTGGATCCTCACCACTGACTCCTGGGGCTTTATGGTAGCAGAGTTTACGTCTGACCCAGCACTTCCCACCTCCCTCAACTCCTGGTCTTACTGAGGCCACTTGCCTCAGGTCAGGCCCCCGTTTCTACTGGTTGCACCACCTCAGCCTCTTGCCCACACGCTGTTGTTGCCTGCTGTCATCTCATGGACCCTTCAAGCCACCGGTCTCTGTCAGCTTCCTCCCTTTAAATCTTGTAATTTAATAACACTCTCCTCCATCCTTTTTCTGCAGATTTTCTCAGCTCCTAGTCATTTTAACTAACATAATCCCAGCGCTCTGTGCACCTATTATCTTCAAGGTCCACATGAAGACAGAGATCAGGCCAGTCAGTCCCGGTTACACCATCCCTCCACTGTCTCTCCCTAGAAGTTTCATAGTTCTTGTTGATTGCGTGATGGCCAGAAGCACGCTGTCCAGGTTCCACAGAAAACTGACCACTTCTCTCTTTTCTGAGCAGTTTGCCATTACGGGAGTCCTCTCGATCATCTCTGGAAAAAAGTCCAGTAAACCTTTTGTAAGTATAAGAACCAACACATCTCACTCTGTTGGAGTAAAAAGAACCTCGGGATTAATTCTCCCAACTCAAAAGTCCCTTTGGGCTTAAAGCAGGAGAGGGGCCCAGGTGTTCCCCACTGACCACTGGCAGCACCGGAAGAGCCTGAGCCCTGTGTTTCCTTGCCTCCGGGCAGTGCCCTGCTCCAGGCTTGGGGCAGGTGTGCCTCAGCTGCTTCAACAGTGGGATTCTGATCTCTGTCCTGAAACCTCTTCAGCTGGTTATCTTGGACCTGAATGGGAGAGGCGACCATCCTAGCTAAAGCTGAGAGGTATTTTTCTAGAAAAGTTGGACTCACAAAGAGTCTCTTTCTTTAAATGGCAAAGGCAGAGGCTGAGGTGTGTGGGCTCCACTCTGTGCCTCTCTCCTGAACCCCCTCAGAGACAGGGACTCATCAGACTGTGGGCACTTTCCTGACAAAGGTGGGGGCTGGGAAGGATTGAGGGTGAGGGGCTTTCCAGCCTGTCCTTGAGGACTGCTCCCTCCCCGCTACCACAGCCCACAGAGAGGACTCAGGGAACCCACACGTCCTGACCCAGGAAGTTCCAAGGTCTGATTGGTCTCAGGTGAGGACGCACAAGACGCGTGACGTGTGTGTGATATGATGGATGACGTGCGCTAACCACGCCGTCCATGCTGACAGCCAAAGTGTAGGCCAGAGCTTGTGCACAGGCTTCTGAAGACCTCAGAACACTGCCTGGGGTTGGGGCTCCGGGCCGGGACTTAGGAAGCTTGTATCCCACCCATATCACCCTGGAAGCCTGCCACCCTGTCGCTGACATGTCTGAGTCCTGGAGAAGGCTGCTTCCTGCTCTGGTTTCAGTTTTCTCGTGTGGGAGTTAAACATGTGGACCTCAGAGGTGGCTCCCCAAGTGCCCAGAATACCCAGAAAGGAACCCTTGGGGTGACTTGACATGATGGGGGACCCACATGTGGGCCCGCTGCCTTGTGGGTAGGTAGGAGTCCAGCCTCTCCAGCTTGCCTCTGCCCTTTCCCGGAGGCTGCTTCTCTGTGGAAGGAGGCATACATAGGTTTTCCCAGAAAGGACCAGAATCCATATTCTAGAGGCCCTTAAAGCAACGGATGGTTCTGAGGAAGTCCAGGGAGATACACAGAGGCCTGGGCAGCACCACCTCTGTCAGCCCGGTACCACCTCTGTCCTCAGCACCGCAGAGTGGAGGAGCCATTTCTGCCACTTGTGAGGCACACACTTCTGTCATGGAGAAGGAGTGAGTCATACATTCGCTCCATAGATATTTACTCATTGAATCAGGTGAGAAAGTGGAGCTACAGAGATGACTAGACGGCAGTCTGGGCCTGGGGGTGGTGCCCGGATTAGAGGGGCTGGTGGGCTGGCAGACCACGCGGAAGCCTCCGCAGGACCACGGAGGGACGGGTGGGCAGGAGGGGTGGCAGGTGGCACGGTGCGCGCATGCGGGCTGGATCCCACTGCAGTTTCTCCTGCAGGCCCTGAGCAGCCTGGTCTCCAACGCCCTGAGCGCCCTGGCCGCGGGGGTGGGGCTCTTCTTCCTGGGGCACAGCCTGGGAGCCGTGGGGGCGCTCTCTCGACAGTGTGACTCAGAAAAGGAGCATCTCCCCTCCTTGCCTTATGCAAGCTACTATCATTCAATAGCTGAAGTCAAGAACTGCCTCCTGGCGGGTGTCAGCCTCACAGTAAGTGTTTCGGATTGAATATCCTGTCATCTTCTGCTTCAGCAGTCTTGTTCTGTTGCTCTGATGGTCTGGCAGCAGAGGGACAGGGTGATTAAAGGCCAGATTGCAGAATCTGAGATGCATGTGGTGTCCGCTCAAAATGGGGTCAGGCAGAGCTGCGGTCTCCTCTCCTCTCCTGCCACCTGTTGATGGTGACCCCTGGGCTTAGTCCTCACTCTACAGAATAACGGCGGGTAGCAGAAATGGAATACACATGAAAATGATCAGAATTGGCAAAACACAAAGTTCCAAACTGAAAATGCACTGAGACCATGGTAGAAAATAGAAAACAAACCCATACCTGGAAACATCACTGTGGCAGTGAAAACACCAAAGACAACGAGAAGGACAGCAATTAGATAGAGTCCAGGACCGAGTCAGCTCAGGGTGTGAGAGCTCAAGGTTGAGATGAAATCGTCTGTTTATTTGCCTTCTGTGAAGGATGCCAAAGAGAAAGCAGGAGACAGGGTCCACCCCTTTCCTCTGTCCCTTCTCCCTCTCCCAGTGTCCTCCCAGGCAGGCAAGGGCTGGCCACGGAGCCAACCCTGTGTTCTGACTTACAGGGCATGCTGGTGGTAATGCTTGCCTTCACTGTGCTGGAGCTCTTACTGGCGACATACGCGTCTGTCTTTTGGTGGAAACAGGTCTACTCCAGCCACCCTGGGTGAGTGGTCTACCGTCACGCCAGAGATTTCAGCTTTGATGCTGCAGGTCTAAAAAGTGGCAGAAAGGGCCTCCCTGGTGGCACAAGGGGTTAAATTAGCACAGCACTAAGAAGCTGTCCACAGCCACTGCAGCAGGAGTTCACTCCCCAGCCTGGGAGGTGACCCACAGGGCCCAGCAGACCTCTCTGTCTCCCCGCTGCTGCCCTCAGCAGTGGATTTCAGTCCATCTGCCTGTTCTGCTCCCTACTCTGTCTCTGGTAAAACCTCTCACCACCACCACCTTCCCACCCCGGCTCCTGTATGCATACATCAGTAAATCTTCTAAAAATAAATAAATAACAAAATTTAAAAAGATAAAATAAAAATAAAATGTGGCAGAAAGAGAGCAGTTACTGCTCACGGGTTGCCTGTGGAAGGCATCTGTGCCACGATGATATTCTGGCATTTGGGCTAAGTCAGTGGCCACTGGAATTCAAGCCAGCTAGAGAGCTGCTCCCTCTTTTTAACACGTATTTATTCTCTACATCATAGCTCACTTTGGGACAGTATCTGATTTCTGCTCTCAGCTGTGGTCCCACAGTTCTCCCTTCACAGTGGCCTGCTGGTCCATCCCCCACCCCCGCCAGCCCCTGTACACTTCCCTCCCCAGCCGTAACCTCTCCCTTCTCCACCCCTGCTCTCAGCCTCAGATCCTTGGTCAGCTTGCAAGTTCTGCCTTTTCCCTGACCTTTTCTTTGGTGTGTCTATATTCTACATATAAGTGAAACCACCCAATAGTTACCATCATCCCTCTGACTTATTTCATTTAGCATCATCCCTTCCAGCTTCATCCAGCTAGAGAATTTACTAGAAGGCTATATGGCTATAGCAATCATCCAGCCAAGCTCACATGCAAGCACCAGATCGTGTATGGTTCAGGCTGATGATCTGGGAATCCTGTTACTCGTGTCCTGAACACAGCCAGCACCCCCCCACCCCAAAAATCACCATAGCCAAGTTCCCTTGCTAGTGGGAGGTTTTTACCAGGATATTATGCTTCTGTTCATGCTTCCTGTGTTGTTCTTACTTTTCTTTGGGTTATCATGTGAAAATACTTTTATTTCCTCCAAAGATTATGGTAAAGAAGAAAATGTGTAAAATGACTGAATATTATGCAACCATGGTCTCAGTAGAAAATGGTCCATGATTAGCAGACTGGAGAATGTCACTTCTTTGAAATAATATTGATGCAATTATGTGTTATGGTCAAATTGGAGGAGTTAATCCTGCACAGAATTTGGAGTGAAACTATAAATATCTATCCAGAAAAGCCACCAAATTCGGAGTTTAAAAGCTACCAACAATTTATGTCTTTTCTAGAGTGTACTTTCTTCGCCTAAGTCACAAGATCATACCCAGCATGTCGAAAAGAGCTCTTCAAGGTCAGGGATACGAATAACGCTTGACCTTCAAGGAGAAAGGAGGAGCAACTCCTGGCAAAATGATTAAGCTCTGCTGAAAGTTCAGCTACTTTACAGCTCTAGAAAAAAATCTTAAAATAGGTTTTGCTTTGGGGCCCTCCCTGGTGGCACAGCAGGTTAAAGCACAGCACTGAGAATCTAAAGCCGCTTCCACATGAGTTCGACTCCCACCTGCCCCGGAGGTGACCGCATGGCGCGGCAGACCTCTCCTGACCCGCCCGCTGCTCCCCTCAGCAGTGTACTTCGTCGATCTACCTGTTCTGTTCCCCACTCTGTCTCTGGTGAAGCCTCTCACCGCCCCTGAACCTCTGGCCTGTACCCCAGTTCTGCATGCACAAATAAATGTCTTTTAAAAAAAAAGGCTTTTAAAAAAAAAAGGTTTTGCTTTGTATTAGCTCAGTGTGAGTAATTGTGTTGTTCCTGAAAATAATTTTTCTAAAGCCCAGGTGAGTAAAATTTTACTAGTCTTCCAAAATTTCTATGAAATGTATAAATTTATCTGAGTAAACTGAACAGGTGACTCACTTCTCTATAAGTTAGAAGAGAGAAAGTGTGCTCTGTGTTGCTGTGATAAGCCACATGGGTTCTGTTTCTGTTTTAGTTTCATACTGATCTTGCTTAAACATTGGCTATTATGGATTGAATGAATGTAATTAAAAATACTTTTAAAGTATGTGGTTCCATCTCTGTTAGTTGAGCAGGTTAAATTCTGTCCTGGAATATGACTCTATATCCTGTCTTTTCAAATGACTTTATTCTTGAATATATAAATTCAAAGATTATAATTTTATTAAACAATATGACCTACCTAATAAAGAAGTTCCTAAAATTGTCTCCTGGGACAAGGCTATGAGTCATGTCCTACAGGGAACTGTACAACAGAAATGCATGTGTCTGTTTCCCAAATAACATACATAAAAACAATCAGAGAAGTGGCCCTCCCTGGTGGCGCAGCGGGTTAAAGCACAGTACTGAGAATCTAAAGCCGCTTCCGCATGAGTTCGATTCCCGCCTGCCCCGGAGGTGACCACATGGCGCGGCAGACCTCTCCTGACCCGCCCGCTGCTCCCCACAGCAGTGTACTTCGTCGATCTCCCTGTTCTGCTCCTCACTCTGTCTCTGGTGAAGCCTCTCGCCGCCCCTGAGCCTCTGGCCTGTACCCCAGTTTTGTATGTACAAATAAATAAATCTTTAAAAAAAAAAACAAAAAACGATCAGAGAAGTAATACATGTACTGGTCCTTGGCGGAAACCCATCCAGTGCCTACACACATAGGAGACACCATGTGTTCCGTAATCTGTGTATTCCGACAGTTCTCCCCTTCATTCCCAATAAAACTCAGCACCTTAACTGTCCTTCGAGGTTCTGGACTCTCACTTCCTCCCTGGGCTTCCCTCCTCCTTGCTTCCTCCAATCCAGCCACGTTAAGCTTTTGCTATCACTGGGTATATTAATTTTTCAATAATTTTACCTTTGCAGACCTCTCTATCTGGAAGGTTTTTAAGAAACAATTTCCATGGCTTGCTTTCTTACTTCTTTCAAAAGTTTCTTCAAATCTCTCAGCCTCAGTGAAACCCTCTCTGCTCCCCCTACCACCAACTTACATGAAATTGTAACCCTGTTTCTGCTTCAATCACTTGTTTTTTTTTCTCCATGGCACTATCACCATCTGACAGACTGTATGTCTGATTGTTCATTCATTATATACATATTCCTCCACTAGTCTATAAATTCCACCAGGGCATTTGCCACTCCCTGCTAAGACTTCCAGCTCATGTTTGTGTTTTCAGCTGTGTGTGTGTGTTTGTGTACACATGAAAACCTGTGTATGAAAATTTTAAGCTGGGCGTGGAAAACCTTGGAGATTTCTCTTTATTCTATCAGCCAATCAATGCAATAAAATCATATTTTATCCAAGATCTAGCTCATATTTTTTGTTATGTTGCTGTTGTTAAAAGAAAGTTTCTTTGGGATATCTAGAGAACTATATACAGAACTAGCTGGAATAATATTCCAAACTGAGGGAAGATGCAGCTGTGAGACCAGGTATCACACTTATGACTCTTCTCCTGAACTCCTTCCTGTACCATCACCACACTGTCCTCCACAAATTGCGCAGCATCCGCTCACCTTCCAAAGTCAAAAATCTGGAAGTTGTCCTGGGGTCTTTCTTCTGCCTCATTCACTGTGGGGACCCAGTTAGGCAAGAACACTGAAGAAAGGTCTAATAAGATCATGGCCAGAAAAAGAGTCAATGGTTTCAACCAGTCCAGACACTGCAAGTATTTATCATACATACCAGAACTCTCTGGTACTACTCTTGAGGTTTTTTGTAATGCAAATTCACCCAAAAAGTGACCCAACATTAGTGTCTGAGTTCATGCCTCACAAACATTCCAATCCTCCCTCCCATCTGAGCCACTCGGTGGAAATAGTCCCATGTCTGTGTGATGAAGTGCGTGCTGAGGGAACAGGGTGAGGTAATTCTCTAGGATCTGATCGCCACCTCTAACCTCCATCCAGCAAAATCCCAAACCCTTAGTCATACAACCCCAAGGGAATATATTAGCCAACAGCCTGAATAAGCTCAGCAGTGCGTTTTCCCCAGTCAAACGGCCAGATGAAAATACATCCTGGCTGACCACAACCCTTGACTGCTGCCATGGGACACCCCCCCCCAAGCTGGGGCTTAGCTGTACCTCAAAACCTGACCAGACAGAACATTAATATAGCAGTGTGCATTGTTTTAACCTCTAAACCACTGCTCACCATCAGTAATACTGTCCTAAAACCCAGGCATGCTGCTTGAGGACAACTCTTCCCCATCATTTTAAAGGAGAGAAAACAGTGCAGGAGTGATTAGCTCTTGGCCTCTGTCCCGGCCACCATGTTGCCATTCCACAGTCTGCGTGTCATCACCGGGGTGGGTGGGTTTGCGGCTGCTGCTTGTCCTGTCCCAGAGTGATTTTAGAACAGTGCAGTCCTCAAAATGTCTCTCCGTGATGGTCTATCCATTCTGCTTAGAATTTAAACACAAACTTAATCCCACATTTTGCTTTATTTAAAACGTTGCATTAAAATCTCCCTGAATAAACACTGGCAGAAATGCATAGATGCATACTTTCCCAGAAGTCTGGATGTGACAGCAAAGACATTCTAGGACAAACTGACAGTCTGTTGTGTCTTTGTGTCATTCTGGTGGGTTTCACCACAGCGGACATTTAGCGATGTCTGATGGCAGTTTGGTGGTCACAGCTGAGGACATGTTCCTAGAATGTAGTGAGTACAGACCAATGACACAGAAAATCTCACACCGCTCAGAACAATTCCCCACTGCAAAGAACTAGCCGGTCCTAAGTGTCTGCAATGTCAAGGTCAAGGTGCCCCGCTCTCCACGGTGGCACAAGCTCAGAAATGATATATTTGTACCCAGTGTTTTGTCCATGAAGCCTTTTATCCATATGATTTAGTAGCTACTGTCCTACCACATACAGGAATATTAAGGATTGGCTTGGAAAACAAAATTCCAAAAGTCATTTCTGATGTGTTTATTGTGTTAGTGTGGTAGAAACCAGGGAGATCTTGAGTGGAATTAATCTCACTTGACTCTCGTAAAGCTAAACCTGCTCTGTTTAAGTGGCAACTACGTGGGATCCTGCACCTTCTCAACTGGTTTTTTTACTACAAAGGAACTTACGACAATAAAAGGAATTTCATACTGCAGAGGAATGAGTGAATGGATGATCCATCAGCTATAACTGGAAACTTTGGAAAAGGGCAGAAGCATGGTATTTTAAATGAGGAATAACAGAGATTTTGGAGACACACAGGTAAGCTTGGTACCTATCTGTGTCCCTCAGTATGTGGCCTTGGGCATCTTTACCTTTCCATATGCAGGTCCCAGAACTGTAGAGTTGTTAAAAGTATAAGCATCAATATATGTTTAAAGAAAACACCTTGTAAGCTACCTGGAATGTGTTGGATGGTCTGTAGATCTTACTTCCTATGTGTTTTGTAGATAGAGACAAGGCTCATTTAGCATCTATGTACTTGGTGTTTACCATCTGTTTATAAATAAGTAGAGTAGAGGCTAAGTCTTGTGGATAACTCGATCCTTTGCCAGGAGGACAAGGAGCTAGATGTGCTCTAGAATTCTAAGACTCTGTGACTTAATGCCTGTGATTCTGGAGTTCTGGTGCTGTATAGAGTAACTACTAGGGGCTCTTTGCTAAGGACTCCATGTGAGACTGATGGAGCACCATGACTTGGATTGCAACACTCACTCGCTCATTCTTTTAATCGGGTCTCACCTTTGAATCATGGAGTCATCATCCAAGGTCAGAAGATCAACTCCTACCATCACCATCCAACCCAATGAAACCATATTGACAGCAATTCCTTTTGGGCCTCAGAGCTCTCTGCTGGAATTCTTGAAGGGAGAGCCAAAAGTCTTGGGGGTAAGTTCACTCCCATCCTTGGGTCTTCATGAACATGAGAAAAAGGCCATTTCTCCATGGGAGTCTGCCGAAAGAGGGACAGCTCCCTTTCTTTCCGTCAATTCTTATCTTCAACATCTCCTCTTGACTAACCATGAGTATTTTTCTAAGTTATTTGTTTGTACAAATAATTGGATCATCAGAAGCCTAGGACTTCACTTTCCTCGAGTTTTCTAGACAAGAGAGACATTCTGTGTAGCTCACTCCATGTCTTAGCAATGCTTCTGAGACTGTATTTAATGCTGAGAAATAAGATATTTAGCTGTTATTCTTAACTCCCCTAATCCTGAGGACTCCCTAGGGCTGTTTTGTGAGCAGCTAGTGCTGTCTTTGAACCCCAACTGACAGGTGCAGGCATCTGGTGCAATTTTCTCATTGTCTTATTGAAGGGGTCACCTCAGAGTGTGGTAGCACCTGCCTTGGAGCTAAAAGCCACTGGCGAAATTAAACTTTTCAGTGCCATCACAGGTACAGGCGTTCTTTGACAACCATATTCTTTGAAGCCCTGTTGTGAGCTACCACATAGGTAGACACATAGTCACAAACATTCCTGAGGGAGCTGGGCGGCAGCCTCCATGTGTAATACAACTTAGGTATGGCCTGAGGGGGAAGCTCAGAGCGGGGGAGAAGCTGTGCCCACTGACCTTACAAGATGGCGTGGTGCCCTCTTCTGGCAAATGGCTCGCAGGTGTTGTTAAGGGGAAGGATGTTCTAAAAGAACTCTGCAGAGTTTTGTGGACCCCACCCCCTACTCCAGCTTTCTGGACTCCACCCCTACTCCAGTGATTGGAAACTACAACTCCCAGCAGCACCAGGGAGAGAACTGTGAGGACCCAAGGGTGGGGCTAAGCAGGCATTCTGGGACTTTGGGAGATAAATAGAGAGCGGTTTTTCCAATTGTTGCTTTGGAGAGGTAACCGATCTCTCTTTCTCTGGAGCAAGGCTCTCAGATGGTGGGACTGGGGCTAGCAGTTGTTTACTAGAGCTCCAAGTTAGCTGAGCTGGTAAGATATTCCAGTTACTTTTGTATCCCTCTCTCTTTCCCTAGGTTGTTCCTTTTCCTTTCCCCTTTTGTAAATAAACCCGTTACCCCTTGTGTGTGTCTGCAGAACAATTACTTTATTTTTTTTAATTTATGGATACAGAACTGGGGTATAGGCCAGAGGTGAAGGGATGGTGAGAGGATTCACCACACACAGAGCAGGGAGCAG